GATAGACAGAACCACTCCGAAGTGGGTTGAGCAACATATTGGACCTTCTAGATGGACAGAACCACTCCGAAGTGGGTTGAGAAACATGTTGGACCTCCTGGTTGAACAACCGTTCTAGAGCAGACCAACTTAGAGAAGGCCAATTCACTGAAGATCTTTCTTGGGTCCACCAGAGACAAATAACTCTGCTCCTCTCCCTCTGTATGAACATAACATGGAGACATGGAGGTGCAGAGGGACAAGGAGCATATATGACAGACCTGCGTCTGAATGGCAAGCGGAGTGGTCGTCCTCTTCCAATGAGAGATGTCCGCTAATGAGACAAACAAAACAGACCTGCACCCGAGTGTCAGGCGGAGTGGTCGTCCTCCTCCAATAGAAGACGACCACGAATAAGACACGTTGGACAGATGGCGGAGAGAGAAGGACTTGAATGACAAACAACCTTCTCCTATAAAAGGTGAACACTATTCACTCTGAAGTGATCCGAAAATGGACACACTCAACACATATACTCTTTGTATTCTCTCTTTTTCCTCTCCCTGAGTCCCTGACTTTACCATCGGAGGGGTTTCTGACCAAACCCCGGTCGGGCAACCTCACCGTTTGTTACTCTGTGCAAATCTTCAATTCCCGGAGCACGGTGTTCATCCACGAAGTTCAACCCTTCTTCATAGTGCGGAAATCACCCCCGCACAATTAGCGCCGTCTGTGGGAAAACCACTGTTTGCTTCGTGACGACCTCCGGCGATGGGAATCGAAGATACACCCCATTCTGGGCTAGCAGAGAGGACTCCAATGACAGAGAGAACCAAAGATAACGGTCCAGCATTCCCTAGAAGGCATGAAGACCTTTCAGACCTTAACGAATAGAGCACCGATGTAGTAGAGCAACATCATGTCATCGTCGGCGAGTCACCCCAACATAGCTCCCTTGATAGAGACAACCGTGACCAAAGGGAGAGAGTACTACACTGCTCTATGACAAGCTCTGGTGAGGGGAACGAAAGAGATACCTTTGTTGCCACTGTGGAAAAGGACTTTGTTGACAGAGAAGACAAAGGATGACAAATTAACACTTCGAAGAGTGCCGGAAAACTAGATCTGCACTAATGGATATAGAGAGACCAGATCTGCACCGACAGATGAAGTCTAGACACGACGTACACCACTGTACTATTGTTTAGTCGTTCTAATGCCTCATTCTAAAGGACTCCGATGAAAGAGATGATGATCGATGAAGGACTATATTTTATGAAAGTGTTGGAGGACCAGATCTGCATCGAAGAACAAAGTCCAAATACGATGGAACACCACCGCATCATTGTTACTGACTCGTCTCATCATCTAGACGGAAGGACTCCAATTGGAGAAGACGAATGATAAAGAACCAATAATCCTAATAGTGTCAAAATACTAGATTTGTATTAATACTATTCAGTTGTCCCACCGACTAGACGGAAGAACTCCAATGATGGAGAAGACGAATGACAAAGGATAGATGCTCCTGAGTCTTCTGAAATATGAGATCTGTATCGACGAAACAAAGTTTAGATGTGGTGAAGCTCTACCATATCCTCGCAATTGAGTTGTTCCATTTATTGGAAGGAAAGACTCCATTGATGGAGAAAACAACAAACAAGGGTATGGTACAACCAAAACATAAGTTTGGGTTAATCCCAGCCGACTACATTGATGTGGGCCTAACAAGGGTCTAGGCCGATCCCAACCAACCCCCTTAGTGTGGACCTAACAAAGGTCTGGGCTGATCCCAGTCGACCACCTTGACGTGGGCCTAACAAAGGTCTGGGCTGATCCCAGTCGACCACCTTGACGTGGGCCTAACAAAGGTCTGGGCTGATCCCAGTCGACCACCTTGATGTGGGCCTAACAAAGGTCTGGGCTGATCCCAGTCGACCACCTTGACGTGGGCCTAACAAAGGTCTGGAACGATCCCAGCCGACCACCTTAGTGTGGGCCTAACAAAGGTCTAGGTTGATCCTAGTTGACCAGTTCGATGTGGGCCGAACAAAGGCCACTCCGATATAGGCCGAATAGAAGCTAGGTTAAACCTAACTGTCCACCCCGAAGTGCGACGAACGAAAGCCACTCTGAAGTGTGCCAAACAGAAGTTAGATCGAAGCTAGTCCTTCACTAAGAGGTGGGTTGAATAGAGGCCACCCAACGTAGGCCAAAAAGAAGATAGGTTCAACCTAGCCGTCTACTCCAAAGTGTGCCGAACAAATGCCACTCCGAAGTGGACCGAACAAGAGCTAGGTTAAACCGAGCCCTCTACAATGAAGTCTGAACAGAAGCTAGGTCAAAGCTTGCTCTCCACTCCAAAGTGGGATAAACAGAGGTGTAACCGAGTCAAGTAACGGCCGAACAATGATGATCGATTGGGGGCAAGACAACTAATTCAATTAAGGCCAAACGGGAAATATTGCAAGGTTTCCCTATTATTGCTCGACTGGAAGAGCAACTTAACTTTTCAAAGGCATAAGGCGAAGTCTAGTCGAACAACGAACAATGTAGGGCTACATCCTTGTTGCTCGGCTGGGGGCAAACAACATAAACATGAAGAAATTGAAAGTTCGAGTTACAAGTCCAACACTTGGCAAATTTCGAAGATACTTTATTAACTTAAAGTTTCATTACAAAAGGACCTCAGCCTAACGAAGGTGATACGAAGTGGAAGAGCTACAAAGAGGGATGAACAATAGAGGTTGGTTGGATGCCCAACGCCCACTTTGAAGCGAGCTAAGCAATGGAGGTTGGTTGGACTCCGAACGTCCACTTCGAAGTAGGCCGAGCAGCAAAAGTTGGTCAAACGCCCAACGCTTGGGCCGAGCAATAGAAGTTAGTTAGACCCCTAAAGCTTGGGCCGAGCAGCAGAAGTTAATTGGACGCTCAATGCTCACTCTGAAGTAGACTGAGCAACAAAAGTTTGTCGGACGCCCAATGCCTGGGCCGAGCAATAGAAGTCGGTCAAACGCCCAATGCTTGGGCCGAGCAATAGAAGTTAGTTAGACGCCTAAAGCTTGGGCCGAGCAACAGAAGTTAATTGGACGCCCAACACCCATTCTGAAGTGGGCCGAGCAACGGAAGTTGGTCGGACGCCCAATGCTCACTCTGAAGTAGACCGAAGTTGGTTGGACGCCCGACGCTTGGGCCAAGCAACAAAAGTTGATCGGACGTCCAATGCCTGGGCTAAGCAATAGAAGTTGGTCAGACGCCCAACGCTTCGACCGAGCAACAACGGTTGGTTGGATACCCAATGCCTACTCTTAAGCGCGCTGAGCAATGGATGTTAATTGGATGCCCAACACCCATTCCGAAGTGGGCCGAGCAACGAAAGTTAGCCGGACACCTAATGCTCACTTTGAAGTGGACCAAGCAACAAAAGTTGGTTGGACGCCCAATGCCTAGGCCGAGCAATAGAAGTTGGTTGGACGCCCGACGCTTAGGCCAAGCAACAAAAGTTGATTGGACGTCCAATGCCTGGGCTAAGCAGTAGAAGTTGGTCAGACGCCCAACGCTTGGACCGAGCAACAAAAGTTGGTCGGACACCCAATGCTCACTTTGAAGTGGACCGAGCAACAAAAGTTGCTTGGACGCCCAATGCTTGGGCCGAGCAATAGAAGTTGGTTGGACTCCCGACGCTTGGGCCAAGCAACAAAAGTTGATCGGATGTCCAATGCCTGGGCTAAGCAGTAGAAGTTGGTCAGACGCCCAACGCTTCGACCGAGCAACAACGGTTGGTTGGGTACCCAATGCCTACTCTTAAGCGCGCCGAGCAATGGATGTTAATTGGATGCCCAACACCCATTCCGAAGTGGGCCGAGCAACGAAAGTTAGCCGGACACCTAATGCTCACTTTGAAGTGGACCGAGTAACAAAAGTTGGTTGGACGCCCAATGCCTGGGCCGAGCAATAAAAGTTTGTCGGACGCCCAATGCCTGGGCCGAGGAATAAAAGTTTGTCGAATGCCCAATGCCTGGGCCGAGCAATAGAAGTTGGTTGGACTCCCGACGCTTGGGCCAAGCAACAAAAGTTGATCGGATGTCCAATGCCTGGGCTAAGCAGTAGAAGTTGGTCAGACGCCCAACGCTTGGGCCAAGCAACAAAAGTTGGTCGGACACCCAACGACTGGGCCGAGCAGCAGAAGTTGGTCAGACACCCAATGCCTAGGCCGAGCAACAAAGGCTAAGCAATGAAAGTTGGTCGGACGCTCAATGCTCACTCCAAAGTGGACCAAGCAATAGTGGCTGATTGGACGCCTAACATCCACTCCAAAATGGACCGAGCGAAGGAAGCAAGTCAAAACTAGCTAAGCAAGACCAAGTTTCATAGCTCGAGTAAACAACCAAAAGATTGACAACAAACAAAGTTGGAAGTGCAACATTCTACCAAATAAATACACTACAAACAACAAGCAAAGGTCGAAGGAGTGCAGTGCCCGACGAGAGTCAATATTATCGAAGTCGATACCAAGACTATAACGACTATGTGCTAGACAACTCTCAAGATAAGAGGTGCTAACATTGACAGTAGCTTGGTGGTAGAGAAACCGAATTAAGAAATGCAAACTCGCAACGCCAAAGCTGCTAGGGCCGACCAAGCAACTCGGTGTTGAAAAACAAAAATTATGCAAACAAGCTGCTACGGCCAACTAACTAAGTGACGGACAATCCTTAAACTGAAGGTAAAACGACCGACTAATATATGAAGAAACGAGCTGAACAAATGGACGTGTTAATCATGTCTAAACAAGAAAATGGTGTATGATCCGCATGACCAAGCAATGTTAGCAAGCTATGCTTCGAGACCGAGCAGAGTGGAGGGGCAGGACTTGGTCGACCAAGCATTGAGACCAACACCAATTTATCTCTTACAAGTAGGACCGAGCAAAAAGATAGCGAATGTCTTTCAAATTAGAACAAAGCTGCGATAAAGCACACTTGGCCTGCTTTGAAGCGTCGCTGTGTTGCTCAGCCCAATCAACGAACACTGCAAAAAATCTCCTTCTCTCCTTCTCCTCCTCCGTCCTCTACTACTCCCCACAATGCTCCGAGGCCAACGCCGATCTCCTTCTCTCCTTCTCCTCCTCCGTCCTCTACTACTCCCCACAATGCTCCGAGGCCAACGCCGATCTCCTTCTCTCCTTCTCCTCCTCCGTCCTCTACTACTCCCCACAATGCTCCGAGGCCAACGCCGATCTCCTTCTCTCCTTCTCCTCCTCCGTCCTCTACTACTCCCCACAATGCTCCGAGGCCAACGCCGATCTCCTTCTCTCCTTCTCCTCCTCCGTCCTCTACTACTCCCCACAATGCTCCGAGGCCAACGCCGATCTCCACCTCTCCTTCTCCTCCTCCGTCCTCTACTACTCCCCACAATGCTCCGAGGCCAACGCCGATCTCCACCTCTCCAGCGCCGAGCACCACCTCCTCTGCTGCCACTTCCACGGCGGCTGCGACACCTCCGACTGGCAGCAGCGACACCTCCGACCTCCACGCCGCCCTCCGCCTCATCCGCCACTTCGAGCTCCTCAACCTCATTTCCCCCCAAAACTACCAGTTTGAGAGAATTGGCGGTTTGATGAGCAATCGCGATAAATTGATGTCTTCCCTGAACGAGGAAGAAGAAGAAGAAGACGGCGACGTTTTGGCGAGGATTAGGGATGGCGCGAAGGCCATGGCGATGGCGAGAAGGATGCGAGACGGCTTGGCTTTAGAATGCTCGGGGTTAGGGGAGTGTGTATTGGAAGAGGTGGTGTTGTGTGTGGTGCTAACGAACGCCATGGAGGTTCAGATTAGCGGAGGAGGTCCCGCCGTTGGGATTTCCGTGTACGATACGACATTTTCGTGAATCAATCACAGCTGCTCCCCCAATGCTTGTTACTGGTTTTCGCAGCAGCATGAGTGTTCCGGTGGCGAGTCACGGTCGCGCATTGTTCCTGCCAGCTGTGATGGAATTGAAGAAATGGGAAATGGTAACAAATGTGAATCAACAAAAGTGAGAGATAAGGAATATGGTCCCAGAATAATTGTTGGAAGTATCAAGCCCATTAACAAGGGTGAGGACATATCTGTTGCTTACACTGACTTGTTGCAACCTAAGGTGATGAGGCAGTTAGAGTTATGGTTGAAGTATCGCTTTTCTTGTTCCTGTCAGCGATGTAATGCATGGCCCCCAAGTTATGTGGATCATACTTTGCAGGAAATTTCTGTTGTCAATTGTAATTGTGCCAACTTGAGTTCTGATCACAGATATGAGGCCATGACAAGGTTGACTGACTATGTAGATGATGCCATAACTGAATATTTGACATTTGGTAATCCCAAATCTTGCTGTGAGAAGCTTGAGAACTTGCTTACTTATGGTCTCCTTGATGGGCAGTTTGAATCAAAAGAAGAAAAATCAAAGCAACAATTTTGGTTGCATCAGCTCCACCATCTCTCTTTGAGTGCCTACACCACACTGGCATCTGCCTATAAAACCCGTGCAAGTGATTTGTTGGCAGTGGATCCGAAAATGGACACACTCAACACATATACTCTTTGTATTCTCTCTTTTTCCTCTCCCTGAGTCCCTGACTTTACCATCGGAGGGGTTTCCAACCAAACCCCGGTCGGGCAGCCTCACCGTTTGTTACTCCGTGCAAATCTTCAATTCCCGGAGCACGGTGTTCATCCACGAAGTTCAACCCTTCTTCATAGTGCGGAAATCACCCCCGCACAATTACGAGGCTAGTGAAGACACATTTAGTTTGAGGGCACAACCGAGCTACAAAACATTGGGCAGACGCATACGTTAGACCGAACAATAATTTTTAATCCAGTTCATGGAGCTCAAATTAAGTTGTGATCACCCAAACTTCGAAGTTGGTGACAGAATTGGCTTCCGCTTCGCCAAACGTAAGCGCAAGCCAAGGGGCAAATGAAGTGGGTGAAAATTAATTAAGTCTTGGTGCTAGGCCCAATGCAATACTCACTCCAAGGTGGAGCTAGGTCAGACCTCGGCCTTATGGCCAACACTTGCTCCAAAGTAAGACAATCATAGGAGTTCGGCCCAATGTACGAGCGTCACTCCAAAGTGGGCCGAGCAACATGGTGGACCTTCTGGATAGACAGAACCACTCCGAAGTGGGTTGAGCAACATATTGGACCTTCTGGATGGACAGAACCACTCCGAAGTGGGTTGAGCAACATGTTGGACCTCCTGGTTGGACAACCGTTCTAGAGCAGACCAACTTAGAGAAGGCCAATTCACTGAAGATCTTTCTTGGGTCCACTAGAGACAAACAACTCTGCTCCTCTCCCTCTGTATGAACATAACGTGGAGACATGGAGGTGCAGAGGGACAAGGAGCATATATGACAGACCTGCGTCTAAATGGCAGGCGGAGTGGTCGTCCTCTTCCAATGAGAGATGTCCGCTAATGAGACAAACAAAACAGACATGCACCCGAGTGTCAGGCGGAGTGGTCGTCCTCCTCCAATAGGAGACGACCACGAATAAGACACGTTGGACAGATGGCGGAGAGAGAAGGACTTGAACGACAAACAACCTTCTCCTATAAAAGGTGAACACTATTCACTCTAAAGTGATCCGAAAATGGACACACTCAACACATATACTCTTTGTATTCTCTCTTTTTCCTCTCCCTGAGTCCCTGACTTTACCATCGGAGGGGTTTCCGACCAAACCCCGGTCGGGCAGCCTCACCGTTTGTTACTCTGTGCAAATCTTCAATTCCCGGAGCACGGTGTTCATCCACGAAGTTCAACCCTTCTTCATAGTGCGGAAGTCACCCCCGCACAATAATATACTTAATATGTTTACTATTTAATTTTAAATTAATTTTTGTATATTTATTAAAGACTGTGCATAACACGGGTATCATACTAGTATTTAATTACATAAATGTAGTCTAAAAGCATTATTAATCACTAAAAAATTAATAACCTAATTTTTAGATCTTTTTTATATCAATAGAAAACTATTAAAAAAAACCAAGCATATGAAAATGAACAATTTCCTAACAAAATAATCAATAAATAAAATAAAAACACAAAAAATTATAAAAATACTAGTATATATGAGTTTAGCTTAAATTTGGAGACTAGAAACTTAAAAAACATGACAAAACAAATTGCATCAAAAACCCAAACTATATATGTAATATTATAACTAAAACAAAAATTTCTTAAAATAGAAAATTTGTTGAAACGAAAATCTAAAGAAAGGAATTTGTCTAAAATTCATTGTTTATCGGGGAAATTACTCATAGGTCCCATGGGAAAGATGTGATCTCCATTTAATCCCATAATTTTTTCACTACACCCAAAAGTCCTTTTCTCTCTCTCTGCTTTTTGCTTCCCTTCCTCTCTCGTTTTTTTTTTCTACATTTTTCTGTCACCGTGTTTGTCATGGAAGAGGACCACCGGTGATCATATCTTTCTCCATTGATCGGGGTTCATTGATAACCACCAAGCATTGAAATCAACTCCGACGAAGAAGATTATATATTTTCCGACGAAGAAAATGAATGGATCTACTTAGATCTGATATAGATCTACTCAGATCTACATCAGATCTGAGTAGATCTACATAGATTTGGTTAGACATCCGTCTTTCCCCTTCGATCTCTTTTTTTTTCTCTCTCTCTGCTATACACTTCTGTTTTTCTGTTCTAATGGAGAAAATTTTCGAATTCTGAATAAGCAGTTTTCGAGTTTTAGTTACAGGCGGTGAAAACTGTAAAATTTTGCAGTTTCAAATTTTTTTTTTGGTGCTGGAATGAATCATGGTTTAAAACTATAAAATTTTGCAGTTTTATAACATTCTTTAGAACTGTAAAATTTTACAGTTTCATATCATGTTTTTTAATTTTTTTTTTCCGGCAATATTCTAAACATTCCGGTGAGTCTCCGGCAAAGTTTCAAATTTTTTTTTTGGTGCTGGAATGAATCATGGTTTAAAACTGTAAAATTTTGCAGTTTTATAACATTCTTTAGAACTGTAAAATTTTACAGTTTCATAACATGTTTTTTAATTTTTTTTTTCCGGCAATATTCTAAACATTCCGGTGAGTCTCTGGCGACCGTTAAACGGAAGTCCGACGGTAGTAAGATGTGAACAGTGTCTATAAATTAAAAAAAAAAAAGGATTTTTTGATAACAATTAAAAATGTGTTGGACTAATTGGTGCAAGTATTTTGTTTTGGGATTAGTTGAATTTTGAACTTGTTATATGGGACTTATCAGTAAGTTCCCCTTGTTTATCCTTACACGGTTACCAGTATTGTTAGTTGGGCCATTTCTAATCCAATTTGTACTTTCGAAGCTAACTTGCTGATGTTGGGCCAAATGTTTATTTACAATTTCACCATTTTTTATTCAAATGTTTCAAAAATAATATTATACGTACTAATCAATATATTAACTAGTATATTAATAGATGGTGTGACATAATTTTAAAAGTTTTAAGTATTTATAATTTGTATAATAAGTAAGATCAGTAATAATGATATAACACTAGTTGGTACATAAATATTGTACGGGAAAGAAATAAACCTTCTCGTATAATCCTGTTGACCAAGTCTACTCTCCTCCGTACGTTGTCGCTTTATCACCTAAAAACACAAACGTGAGCTAGCCGGCGGGTGTGTGCCGGAAACCTCTCCGATGCCTAAGTCAGTAAACTTGACAAATAGACAAAAACTCTGTGTATTCAGAAAACAAAGTTATGTGTTACCTCTCCAAAGGTGATGTTTGTGAGCTTTTATAGGTTTCGTGTGACACAATCATAGTAGGACTTCTACTGCTCCATGCAGAGTCCTCCTAGGATTCATACTCCTAAAGATAATGCTTATCTTTTAACACCCCCTCACTGCTTAAATCAAGTGAGATGGTTTTTACCATGGCCGAACTCTAACATGACCGAAATAAGCATGGCTATACTGAGCCGCAGAGTAGGCCGAACTATTCTTAGTTCGGTTCTTCCTTTTTACTGTTCTTACGTCGGCTTTTCATGAACAACCCATGGCATAGTTAGACCGAGCTACCGAGTAGCAAGGTTCTATCCGTCCTAACAACAATACGCCATGACCGGACCAAATCTGAGACCGGCCTGACTCCAAGTCACTTCCGGACCGGAGTAACATTACACTTATCTCGGGCCGGAGTAATTCTGTACCTCTCTCAGGCCGGAGTAACTTTTACGGCCTTTTTACTCAGCCCTTTGTATTGTGGGCCACAACGACATCTCCCAGCTCGGCCTAATTTTTACAAAAATTGCCCTCTCAAATATATACATTAATTAATACATTCGAATACGTCTAAACTATACTCGATCTATATCAACTTATAGGGCATCAATTAAATTAAACTGTTTATCAACAACTCAGGCTTAATTTATTTGAATAACTCTTTTTTAATTATATATAATATGTCATGATTACATGAATTTGGTTTTACGTGAGATTGATGAATTGCCCTTCCATGGTAAGAAACGTTGTCAGTGGTTAATGTAAAATATGCTGACGGTTGATTTGGAAAGTGAGTTGGTTTTTTAATTTTTTGGTTTTTTAATTTTTTTTGATTATTTTAATTTAGGTTAAAAAATTTAATTTGGGAAGAGTTTTTTAATTTTTTGACTTTTTTAATTTTTTTTGTGAAAAAAAATAATAATGATTGTGAGTTAAATGTAATATTTTATTTTTTTTGATTAAAATAATTTATTTTATCTTTTAAGATTAAAGTAATAAAAAAAAATCAACTTTAACTCCTCTCAAACGGTGCCTTGAAAAGAGTGAACTTATAACGATAACATGGTGTTCACATGGGGGTGAGCTAAAATTCAACCAAAAGGGAATGGTAAAATCATTTCATTTTTAACATAGGGAGGCTCCTTTTTAGTTGAGGTTGAAGGGTGTTATTAAGTCTCCCTTGGCCTAGAACCCGTATGAATTATCTGAATTGTTTAATATATAAAGTTTGTTGAGTATTTTGTTTCTGTAAAAAATCATATTGATCGGATATCGATAGTCATTTGATTAGATCACATTTATATAAATAATTTATTTTAAAAATTATACTTACCATTAATACAAATGTGATCTAATCAAGTAACTATCGATATTTGATCAATATAATTTTTACAAAAATAAAATACTTGACGGATTTTATATACCAAACGATTTGAATTATCGATACAAATTCTGTACTAAGCTCACAAAGATCCTGCAATACTTTCCAATCTAATTTGAACCGGAGGGAAGCTGTCGCTTTAACATATTAGGACAAAAGTTTCAAAATAAAGTCTCAATAATGCTTTTGTACCTTACTGAGAAAGTCTGAAAACAATAGGCCACACCCACATAAGCCCAACACAACAGGCACAAAAAGACACCAACCCATAATATAACTCTCTGTGCAACCACCATTCACTCCCAAGCCACTCACTCTCTCTCTCTCTCTCTCTCTCTCTCTCTCTCTCATGGCTTCATCAACAAGATCAAGCATTCTATCAGAGCAATGGTTCCTAATGGCAGCAATGTCAGTATTATGTGCATTCTTTGGGTAC